GGGGTGGGACAGGAGGTGGCATCACTGTGGGTGTCAGACATATCGTGGTGTGGCCGTGGAGTCAGACAAGGGGTGGCATCACCATGGGGCAGGACACAGCACAGTGTGGGGTTACATGCAGCATGGTCTGGCCATGGGGGACACAATATGACAAGGCTGTAGGTTGGACACAGCTCCCTCCTACTCCTGCTGCCCTCCCCAGGGTTGGGCATCCCACCCAGGCCCCCAGCTTTGCCCTCCCCTGACCCCAGCCCTTGCCTCCTCCTCTGGGTGTCCCCAGAGGGCTAGGAAGTCGGGGAAACTGGGGGACACCCAAATCCCAGCTCACCATGCAGGCTGCCTGCACAGCCTCCGAGATGATGCCGGCATCGGGCTCACACCAGAAGGCCACGCACTGGAAGCATCGCCCTGTGTCCACGATGAGTGCGAAGGTGTGGGCATCCCGGCCCACTCCCAGGAAGGTCACGTACCGCACCTGGCACTCCCAGATGTGTGTCGCCTCCTCATCCTCCTGTGGGAACCCCGGGGGCCCATCCACCCCTGGCCACGCTCCAGGCAGCCCTGCCCCCCCATCCCAGGTCCCCTCTGCCAGGGGGTTGCCTGTCCCACTCCAATGGCAGCAGGGAGCCTGCTTCAGCCTGAGTCCTTCATCCCCCTCCCCACCTGTGCATGGTGCACCCTCATGGCTGTGTCAGATACTCGGATGAGCGAGGGTGTCCAGTGCTTCCGCCCAGGGCCCCTCATCAGCTTCTCAATGGCTTCATTCAGGACATCCATCCCTGGGGAGCAGGAGACCCCATCCCATCATCCTGTGCCACAGCTGTGAGCATGCTGCAGGCCGGGTGCTGCCAGCCAGCCCCCCAGGCAAGGACTGCCCGGGGCACAGCTGCTCAGCTGCCCCATTGCGGGGGGTTCTCGGGCATCCCCTGGCTGCGGCGGGGCCAGTTGCACTTACCCATGGCCCTGGGCACAGTCAGGCTGCCGATGTACAGTGCCTCATAGGTCTGCATTGACTGCCTCACCGCTTCCAGGATATCCACTACCAGGACATTAGAGGTGGTGGGGACACCCCCGTATGTCCCCCCATCCCCGAGGACCCCGAGGACACAGCTGGGCAGGCCAAAGGGCTATGGCTGCTGGGCATCCTGCTGCCTGAGGGCAGACTTTGGGCAGGGGGAGCAGCCAGCAGTGCCAGGGAATGGTACCTTGCAGTGGCACATTCTCAATGGATACAGGCTCCAGCGTGGTGGCACATGGCGGCTTGCTGCTCGCTATGGCTCGCTCAGCCACGATCTGCAAGAGACGGGGGTCCAGGTGCCTCCACTCACCCCTGAGACCCCTGGGCCATGCCCACACCCACCAGGGCCTCAGCATCCTACCTTGGAGCACATCTCATGCAGGGCCTTGGCAATGCCCTTGGCAGGCACATTGCAGTGGAAGACATGACACTTGAGGATGCAGGTGTCCTTGTCACTGGCCACAAAGGCGAAGTCTCTGCAAGGCCATGAGCAAGCCAGTGAGACCATGGCAAAGGCAGCAACCCCAACCGCACCCCGCACACCACCACCCAGCCCCTCACCCCGTTACCTGTCCCTGCAGCCGCAGCGGCAGTCAGGGAGGGAGGAGAGGGGACAGGTTACTGCTGGGGTGCTTT